TTCTTCGGAACCCGGAAGTATGAAACACACACACACACACACACACACACACACACACACACACACACACACACACACACACACACACACACACACACACACACACACACACACACACACACACACACACACACACACACACACACACACACACACATTTCAGAAGTATAAATGAGAGGGGGATAGAGAGAGAAATAGTTTATTTTTCTGTCAATCGTTACATAAGTAAAAATTAATGAAAAGCAAAATCCAGCCATTAGGCTTTTGAGACACAGTAATACATAACACATAAAGAGGATATTGTTCGTATCATGAACAAAACAATATTATACATGGTAACATACTTAGGTAATATTAAGTGTGCTTGCTAATAGAACGTAAACTGTATGACTATAAAATAAATACATGTTCGTGTAAATCAGGCAGATTTATAAAGGTAGGTTCTAATAACATACAATACAGTAAACTACGTTTATAACGAACACGCTTATAACGAACTGACCGATATAACGAACCTATTTTTCAGTCCCGGCCATTTGCTGTATATATGCTGTATGTATGTTTATAACGAACTACGTCTATTACGAACTAAAAATAGTGGTCCCCTTGAGTTCGTTATAACCGTAGTTTACTGTATTTAAAACCTGTGCGTCTCAGATCTTCATAAAATGGACATGACATTTAAATATGTGCTTCGTCTTAATAATTATGTTATTAAACTGTATGAAACAATTAAACAACTGAATAAATTATGTTTAGAAGACGGGTTGGTGTTTTTTAAAACGTCCAGTTTCTATGGCAAAAGGTTAAGATCAACAATTACATAAAGCTAAAACAATACGGCTATATTTTACATTTAAAACATACTACTCAACACCATTTAGCGTCCTAAATTACCTGTAAGCTCTAAGCTTATTGCTATTTTACATAATTATCCTACAATTCTCTGCCCTACCTTTCATTATCACCTTTAGTTAGAATATATCTTTTTTATTTTATTGGGACGAGGTTACGATGTCATTAAGGTTATTAATATTTTTTGACAGAATTTATGTCGCGTCTGAAATGTAGTTGTACTTGAAATTGAAATTATAGTTTGGCATAGTCTTCTGGAAAAGGGTAGTAAATCTGTCTCTTATTCTCTATTCAAGGTATCGTGTGGTACATAGCTGTATCTTAGCTGTGTGACCGTCAGTAAATTGAGAGTGGCGCTAGCTCAGCTGTGTGTTGAGGTGAGGTGAAATTGGGTTTAACGTCGCATCCAAGATTATTGCACTTATATAGCGACGTGCATGCACGTGAGTGTGTGTGGCTGCTTGTACTGGACCGGACTGATGCCGATTTATAGTGCTAGCCCACTGAGATACCAAGCCGCAGTTTAACATAAAAAAAACCACTCAGACACAGTATACTAACTCCGAGCCGACCAGTCCTTGCTTTAATCCCTTAATGCTCAGCGCCAGACAGGGTAACAACAAGTTCCATCTTTTAACGTCGGATCAACCCCGGACCTTCCGCTCTCCGGGCGGACGCTCTACCACTAGACCACGGAGGCGGTCCTGTGTGTTGAAACTGGGAGACACGCTAATATCCCACGTGACAGAAGACTATGTTGTGTTTGTAATACTGGGTACGTGGAGGACGAGTATTATGTTTTGTTAGTTTGCTCCGGTTATAACAAGTTACGGGTGGATCACTTACCACAGAAATATTGTAAATATCCGACCAAACAAAAAATTAATAACATTATGTCTACAACTGATTGTAAATTAATTATACGTCTAGCTATCTATATCTATCAAGCGATGTCACTTCGTAGTACATTATTGTCAGAACAATAAGATCTGTGTACATCACGTCCATCGTCATACAAATGTAACTATGGGCCGATGGCCTACACTTACGAAATAAACCGAATTGAATACAGGATATTTTTACAATTCTGTTATTTTGGGACATATTTAATATTTTCTTGCTCGAGCCGTAGCGGGTATCCCCATCATCACTCATCTTTATGTAAAGTCTCAAAACTTGAAATGTTGTTTAACAACTGATCATATAAAACCCATATCTCCCCTCGATGGATGGATGGATGGTTTGTTTGTTGTTTAACACCGCACTCAGCAAAATTACAGCTATATGACGGCGATCTGTAAATAATCGAGTCTGGACCAGACAATCCAGTGATTGATATCATGAGCATCGATCCTTGCAATTGGGATCGATGACATGCATCAACCAAGTCAGCGAGCCTGACCACCCGATCCCGTTAGTCGCCTTTTACGACAAGCATAGTCGCCTTTTACGGCAAGCATGGGTTGCTGAAGACCTATTCTACCCAGGATCTTCACGGGTCTCTCCACTCGAAGCTACATTAGATGAGTGCTTAGTGACACGAATGAAGATATTGCAAGCTTTGTTTTGTAAAAGATTTGTTTCTTTGTAAGTATTAATTTTATTGAGAGAGTTTTAACTTAAACTGCACAGGTAGTATCAACATACAAAGAATTCATTGCAGTTAGTAGTTTTCCACGGACGTCAGTATTACATTATTTGTACCACAAACTGTCTTTTTACATTATTAATTTATATTTTGTTTGTTTGTTTGTTGTTTAACGCCGTACTCAGCAATATTCCAGCTTTAGGACGGCGGTCTGTAAATAATCGAGTCTGGACCAGACAATCCTGTGATTGACATCATAAACATCGATCAACGCAATTGGGATCGATGACATGTATCAACCAAGTCAGCGAGCCTGACCACCCGATCCCGTTAGTCGCCTCTTACGACAAGCATAGTCGCCTGTTACGGTAAGCATGGGTTCCTGAAGACCTGTTCCAGCCCTGATCTTCACGGCGTTAATTTTTAATTTTTAGCTCGACACATGTAACAAAAGTATATATATAGATATATTCTGTTTTGTTTTAACGATGCTTAAACAGAAACATTATCAATGCAATCTCGTTTGTCCCGAAAAATATTCTGTTCATGTGCTAATTATTCGTACTTTTCCAGCCATTCTTGGTATTAATGATATTGGCATATGCTTGAGAAGGTACTGAAATAAGAGTGATATCTCTATATTCTAATGGATTTCAAGCATCTTATATATCGGTATCTGGTACCTATAACATATTCGGGGCGAACCGGGATTCGAACCCACAATCATAGGTTCCTGGCGTGCCCAAGGGACGAAACTCTGCACAGCGAATTGCACCGCCTTAGATGACTGCCGGTGCCCCCATGTCTATTCAGGAGATAAACCTTCCGTGTGTTGCTATCTAAGGACGTCCAACTGCAGATTAACGCCCGGTTCCAAATGTATAAATAAGGGGTAATAAATTATATTCACTTAGACTACCTCAAATTTGAAACACAGTAGGTATATCTACATTCTGCCATGACGACAGACGCGCTTTGAAAACGGTGTTCTCTTGGAATGCATGCGTACACATGAGCCTTAAAGCCAGCTACGTTAGACGTTTTGTTTGTTTGTTTGTTTGTTGTTTAACGCCGTACTCAGCATTATTTCAGCTATATGACGGTGGTCTGTAAATGATCGAGTCTGGACCAGACAATCCAGTGATTGACATGATGAGCATCGATCCTTGCAATTTGGGTACGATGACATGCATCAACAAAGTCAGCGAGTCTGACCACCCGGTCCCGTCAGTCGCCTCTTACGACAAGCATAGTCGCCTGTTACGGCAAGCATTGGTTGCTGAAGACCTATTCTACCCCGGATCTTCACGGGCCACTTTAGAAAATGCTGAAAAGGAGTCACGGTTAGTGATAAACATAAACAAAATATTACACAAGTTCAAGATTAATTATGAATTGACTTCAATATTGCTGGAGTTTATGGAGGCATAAAAACATATTATTGTAGCGCCTATATTTGTTAAATTTAACATAATTGTATGGACAAGGATAACTTTCGGATTGTATATTTGTATGTTTGAAACATTTTATATCAATGGGGTGGCAACTGTATGGACAAAATCTAACAATTGAAATTGTTACATTATAAAGCTGTCACAATAAGAAAACAATCATAATAACTGAATAGACAGGAATACCAGATCCGGAGTTTTATCAAATCGATAGATATTGTTCATGGTAAACTTTCAGGAGAGTGATTTTTAAATAAAATATCGCCATTTTGCAGCCAGCATAAGCATTTCTGAACATTTAGACCGATTAAATTTTGTGAGCGATGAGCGAACGATACCTGACTATTTTAGAAAATGTTTCTGGAGCTATTGGCACACGCAGCGATTGGTAAAACGAATTTGATATGATCACTTCGATTGGAACATAATGTTTTGTCCCGAAATGTTGCGCACCATGTTATCAGAAATACACTGATTAAAAACAACCTATGTGGCTAAATAAACTGGCGTGTAGTAGGACACGATTAATGTGTCTTTTCATATTACATTTTCAGCATTGATATCCTCAACGAATCAACTATCGCGCATCTGGCTTTTGCAGGTCAGTGTCAGTAAGACCCCGGATCTAAGACCCGTGTATTCCAACCAGTCTCGTCGTTTGTGCTCGGGCAGTGGGAGAGAAAGCAGTTGTCAGTTGTCAAAGAAGGGTTGAAACTGAACGCGAGGCAGGTCTGAGTCATGTGACATTGGATTCCGCATCCATTGGCTGAATAAGTTGTAATGGAGGCTTGAGTAGTCTGTAATTTCTTCCCCTTATTTGCTGAAAACTTGGAGACTGAAAATATATCAGCAAACAGTATATAGACACATGGAGGTGTTGTGTAAAGACGAGGTATATTCATCGAGCAATACTTTAAGCAACCGTCGGGACATGATATGACACATATCTTTCATCAAGAACAATGGGAAATCTTACCTTACACGAAGTGCCCCAAGCGGGATTAATGAGTGTTTATAGAAAACTGATTGTTATCAATATGCACATACTCTGATGAAAGAAAATCAAGAACATTGAATTGTGTATTGAACAGGTAGCGTTTATAGATTCAAGTTATGGTCGTGTGTTGCCCTGATCGATTGTGTTTCTCGTGTGGTCGTGTGTTGCCCTGATTGTGTTTCTCATATGGTCGTGTGTTGCCCTGATTGTGTTTCTCGTATGGTCGTGTGTTGCCCTGATTGTGTTTCTCGTGTGGTCGTGTGTTGCCCTGATTGTGTTTCTCGTGTGGTCGTGTGTTGCCCTGATTGTGTTTCTCGTGTGGACGTGTGTTGCCCTGATTGTGTTTCTCTTGTGGTCGTGTGTTGCCCTGATTGTGTTTCTCGTGTGGTCGTGTGTTGCCCTGATTGTGTTTCTCATATGGTCGTGTGTTGCCCTGATTGTGTTTCTCGTGTGGTCGTGTGTTGCCCTGATTGTGTTTCTCGTGTGGTCGTGTGTTGCCCTGATTGTGTTTCTCTTGTGGTCGTGTGTTGCCCTGATTGTGTTTCTCATATGGTCGTGTGTTGCCCTGATTGTGTTTCTCGTGTGGTCGTGTGTTGCCCTGATTGTGTTTCTCTCATGGTCGTGTGTTGCCCTGATTGTGTTTCTCGTGTGGTCGTGTGTTGCCCTGATTGTGTTTCTCGTGTGGTCGTGTGTTGCCCTGATTGTGTTTCTTTCATGGTCGTGTGTTGCCCTGATTGTGTTTCTCGTGTGGTCGTGTGTTGCCCTGATTGTGTTTCTCGTGTGGTCGTGTGTTGCCCTGATTGTGTTTCTCGTGTGGTCGTGTGTTGCCCTGATTGTGTTTCTCGTGTGGTCGTGTGTTGCCCTGATTGTGTTTCTCGTGTGGTCGTGTGTTGCCCCTTTGTGTTTCTCGTATGGCCGTGTGTTGCCCTGATTGTGTTTCTCGTGTGGTCGTGTGTTGCCCTGATTGTGTTTCTCGTGTGGTCGTGTGTTGCCCTGATTGTGTTTCTCGTATGACCGTGTGTTGCCCTGATTGTGTTTCTCGTGTGGTCGTGTGTTGCCCTGATTGTGTTTCTCTTGTGGTCGTGTGTTGCCCTGATTGTGTTTCTCGTGTGGTCGTGTGTTGCCCTGATTGTGTGTCTCGTGTGGTCGTGTGTTGCCCTGATTGTGTTTCTCGTATGGTCGTGTGTTGCCCTGGTTGTGTTTCTCGTGTGGTCGTGTGTTGCCCTGATTGTGTTTCTCGTGTGGTCGTGTGTTGCCCTGATTGTGTGTCTTATGTGGTCGTGTGTTGCCCTGATTGTGTTTCTCGTATGGCCGTGTGTTGCCCTGGTTGTGTCTCATGTTGTCGTGTTTTGCCCTGATTGTGTTTCTCGTTTTGTCGTATGTTGCCCTGATAATGTTTCTCTCATGGTCGTGTGTTGCCCTGATAATGTTTCTCTCATGGTCGTGTGTTGACCTGATAATGTTTCTCTCATGGTCGTGTGTTGCCCTGATTCTGTTTCTGTCATGGTCGTGTGTTGCCCTGATAATGTTTCTCTCATGGTCGTGTGTTGCCCTGATTATTGTTCTCGTATGGCCGTGTGATTCAAGCGACGATGAACAATCATGCACCACATGGGATCTATTGTCTGACATGATTCTCTGTATGAGGGTGTCAGTACCCCAAATTCCTTGTTTCGTCCAATCAAAAACACCAAAAGAATCCCAAAGGATGGGAACAACATACATTTAACATACAAGTTAACATTTGTATTGATGCCAAAGTCTTTCCTTTATATGTGCATTCTTTCTCTAACCTGCACCCCTATATACGTGTGGGCCTGACCTTCCACGTAATGGAACTTAAGTCGTCCCCCAAGTAAAGTGACTGATAGTAGTAGTAGTAGTAGTAGTAGTAGTAGTAGTAGTAGTGAGTGAGTTAAGATTTAAAGTCACGCCGGCAGTATTTCAGCCATATTGAGACTATCAAATGTTATAAATATGAAATACATTTAAATTATAAAAGCCTGTCAACAAAGGACAGTAAAATAAGTAGAATATCACAGATTATTGATTGAAACTAACATGTAATCATAAAAAAAATCTTAATTAATCTTAATTAAATGAGCACTGATATTTAAAAGATCCTCAATGGATGAAACTTTGAAATAGTTATCCCTTGAAGTGGAAATATCATTGTAGTCATGCTTGACCGTGGTTCTTTCATCACAAGGTATGCAAAACGGAGGATCTTCACCTTTCAATAAATAATCATGTGTACATCGTCGCATAATGACCTCTTCAAATCTGGACTGACAGCCCAAGTAGGTGTAACCAATTTTTTAATTTTATTTCATGCAATTTATTAAAACCTGCTCTGGTGTCACACTTCTTTTGCATAAGATCTCCTGATGTTACATCTAATTACAGGTCTGTAATCATTACATTGGATTAGAAGTGGTGTCATAGATTTGTTGAGCGCTGCTTTTGCAGCAGCATCAGTCATTAATTCCAACATGGCTGGGTAACCAACAAAAGACTATGTCCTATTGGCCAGTGGCAAAATCATTATGAAATTCTATGATTTCAAGTAAAAATGGATGTTCACAGGAAATATTCTTAATGGCCTGAAGGCAGGAAAGGGAATCAGAAAATATAACGAGCTGTTTATGTTTTGATTGTGTATGTATATATTTGAGAGCTGTTAAAATTGCCTTGGTACTGCTGTAAAAATTGAACTGGCGTCTGGGAATTTTTTATGATATGGCCTTGGAGCCAGTGACAGTGGTACTTGCAACTGCACCACCGTCCTTGGATCCGTCTGTAAAATATATTTGTGAGTATTATAGGTGCCTCTTAATTCATTATATTCTTGCTGATAAATTAACAGATTAGTATCTGATTTCTTGAGTTTAGTTAAGGAAAGGTCTACCTGTGGCTTTAACAGTTGCCACGAAGGAGACGACAGAATTTGGATGGGAGATACGTTAAAGAGTTTAATTTGGGCAGCAGAAATGTCAAGTTTGATTTTATTCCAAGGGGTGGAATAAGTGATTGTTCGTTATGATACAGAACCTCATACAGAGGATTCAAAATGCACTCGTAAGCTTGGTTAGATTGATTAGAAAAACGTTTTGTGATGTATTGTATTGATAGTTTTATGCGGCGTTGTTTTAGGGATGGTTCATCAGCCTCCACGTACAGACTATTAATGGGAGAAGTTCTGAACAAAGTGACAGACAAAGTGACAGACAGGATACTGCCTTGCGGGACACCCTCATCCTGATAAAGATCAGACAGGGTAGATCCTACGAGGACTTGAAATTGCCTGTCGGTTAAAAACTTGGATATAAATTGAGGCAAATGGTCTCGTTATCCAAAATCATGTACATCTTTTAAAATACCGCATTTCCAGGCAGTGTCATATGCTTTTTTAAGATCGAAAAAGGTAGACACTGCATGTTGTTTATTGATTATTGCATTCTCAGGGAAATAAATGATCTATGGTACTTCTATTTTTCCAGAAACCACTTTGAATGTCAGCAATAAGATTGTCGGTTTCTAAATACCAAGCTATTCGATAATTTATCATGCGTTCAATAGTTTTGCAAACGCAGCTTGTCAATGATATTGGTCTATAATTTGAATGGTCAGAATGATCTCTCCCGGATTTGGGTATTATAGCATCAAGCCATGACGAAGGAAATTTCCCTGTCCTCCACCTTCCATCATAAATATTCAATAATGTTCCTAAAGACGATTGTGGTAAGTGTTTCAGAAGTAGATGATGAATGTTACCAGCTCCTGTAGCAGTAACGTAAGCTTGTCCAAGGGCAGTATGGAGTTCATGAATAGAGAATAGTTCATAATAATCTTCCCTGTTATCTGAATTAAACTCAATAGGTCTGTTTTCTTGCTGTTTTTGATGCTTTTGGAATTGAGGTACATGGTTGGAAGAGGAAGAGTGTTTAGCCAAAGTTCCACCAAGTTTATTAGCATTATCTGATTTATGAGTTTGTAAATGGTCCCCATTTGCAAGATGGTGAATACTGAATTTAGTACTTTGATGTTTTGGATCATATTCCATACCTTGGACATAGGCGTTCGTGAATATAGTTTAGGGAATAATTTTGCCAAGATTGGCGTTTACTTTGTTTAAATGTTCGCATTTCTTTAGCGTTTAAAATTTTATATAAATTCAAATTGTGGACCATAAGATGGCGACAGAAATAACGCTCAGCCTTTTTCCTCGCCTTCCTGGCTTGTTTGCAGTCATCGTTAAACCATGGTTTACGTATGTGGGGAATTGCAGAGGACTTTGGAATACATTAATCAGCTATTTTGTTTAGTTCATCAGAGAACGCTTTAATTTGATAAGGAACGTCCACAAAAAGATCAGGATTTAATTTGCTCGTACCGATTGGCTCGAACAAAGACCAGTTAGCTTTAGTGAAAATTCCATCTTGATGATGGAGGAACATTAGTTGGAGTTATTGTTTGAAGAATTGTTGGAAAATGTACACAGTCTTTGTGGACTGACTATTCGAATTCATTCAGCAAATTTGAGTTTGTAAGTAATAAAGTTTGAGAGGATTGTCATCAGCGGATGCGATGACAATGAACCTGGGCCAAGAATCAGCCACTTGTGAAGGCACATCTTCATCAGATGAAAGAGAATATACATGCCTACGTTTGTATTATTTTGTTGAACCAGAGTCTAGATTTAAAGACATGTGAAAATATTTTTCAGCATCCATGTTCCCCACCCGCCATCGAGTGCTGCAGTGGAATCAAGGATACAGTGATGTTATACTCCAGAAAATACAACGCGAATAGCTACATTTTTCTATCAAAATAAATGCTTAACTAGTTTGTCCCATGACAGAACAATCTGAGACGTAATTCGGAGGTTGACATCACCAGATTGGCCCATTAGCCACCGCCTTCTTGCATTAGACTCTAGGCAATATTTAGATTTGCAGAAGTAGGTTTATCATATTTCATCATTAAAAATTGTTTGATATGATATTTCCAAACAACATATGTCCATGTACAGGGCATGGCGTGACCGGCCAATTTTAAGAGTCGGGCCAATTCTACTACCCGTCTAGGTGAAGTAGTGAGTGAGTGAGTGAGGTTTTACGCCGCTTTTAGCAATATTCCAGCAATATCACGGCGGGGGACACCAGAAATGGGCTTCACACATTGTACCCATGTCGGGAATCGAACCCGGGTCTTCGGCGTGACGAGCTAACGCTTTAACCACTAGGCTACCCGACCGCCCCTCTAGGTGAAGTAAGGGTCGAAGTGGACAAAGGAACGCCGGTTCCTGGCTCAAATGCCTGAAACCACCAGACCCCCTTCCTCGAGCGACACAGGGATGCAACCCACCCAAACGGGTTGCTCAGTTCGTTCGCCACTTACACATTCCAACCCGATTCCCCGGGTAGTAGTAGTAATAGTAGTAGTAGTAGTAGTAACCAACTGACTGATACGATAGTATTATCCAAACAAGTGAACAACAAGTACATAATCAAAACGAACAGCAAGGGACTGTTGAAATTCGTTCGTTGTATTCATCGTTTGCTCCCCGCGAAAATTGTCCACTATTTTGAATCCCTCCCCTTTTTATATACATTGCATACCAAGTGCAGAAACCTGGAGTCATTAATGGTAATTGGGTGATATCATACCTGCACCACGTGTTGTGCGAATGCCCATAGCCAATGCTTCCTTCAGACCCAGATCTGGTTGCGTTGTGGCAACGAGTCGAATGTACCGAACACGGTATGTAGGAGTGGCGTGGAATACGTGAGTCTGTGACTCGCCTGTACCTGCTGGTGTTGTTCCATAGAGGAAGCTGACACCACCAGGACACTGGTCAGGGTTGCTGAAGTAGGTCTGGATCTCAACTGACTGTGTTTTCCATCCTGTGTGTAGAAACAAGTGGTTCATGCTTCTGTTCTCATCCATCTGGGCAGAGGGTGTCGGTTTAAGATTAAGATAATATGTATAGAAATCATGAAAACAATAAATCTACCTTCATATCTATATGTAATTCGGAAGGATACTTAATGCTAAACTGCAATCATCACTCCTAAACATGATCGCCCCGATTATGTTTCTAGGTTTGTCAGCGCCATACCCGTGCTCGTGGGTTTCACCGAAGTGGTTAACGTCTGAGACCTGCATCGCTTCGGGCTTTCCTCCCACATTAAGCTGACACGCCGTGATATAACTTGAATAATGTTAAAAGCGGCGTTAAACACAACTCACTCACTCACCCACTCACTCAATGAGAAGAGGGTGGACGGTCTGCATCAATGCACACAACGGACACGCCTCTGCCTGTGTGGACTTCC